CTGGGGAGTCCTGCTGTAGGCATTAAGAAGAGGGAATGAAGATTCCTTCTCCAAATTAAGTTGTCAAGCAGCTCATTTACAAGACACAGCAAATGCATGTGGGCAAGCTGATGAAGATGGTGATTTATGACGCTGTAGACACTTAAGTGATTCCAGTGATGGAAATCCACAGCAAAACCCACTTAGGAAGATGGAACAGAACTCCTATTATCTGTAGGAGGTAAAATTATGTGCCTTTTGCCCTTGCAAATTTCAAGTTACCCTACTGGGTTTGAGGATGTAAGGAAAGCTCATTTGGTTAAGATTCATATTTCTGTTAATGTTATTATACAAACTCACATACATGACATTTTTTGAAGTTTATAGTCAAGAGATCTTTTAAAAGACTTTCAGCATAACTTTTTGCTATTTGGGGGAGGGAGAGAGGCTGCAAGGACTGAATGTGTCCAATCACATCACTCTATGTAACATAACAACATTTGATATATCTACAAAAAATGAATTGGAGCCTGACTGCAAAAGCAGTAAATATGTTTTTTGGAGAATTTTATATGCAAAAAATATGGTTTGAAATGCTAGGCAAATTCATAAACAGATTTGACTAATGATTTTGGCCATCACCAGCTAACCTCTTCCCAATGTATAGAGAAAAAGTTACAGGAAACAAAGAGTAAAACAATAAAACCAGGGTGGGAAGAGTATGTTATTCTTTTCATTATGTTTGGTGTGTTTGAGCCTTAAAGGCTAACAAAAATAATTTTAAGACTCTTACGAATTTATAAGCTTGGCTCTTAAATTTTAAAATGTTTGTAATTTCCCATTTTAGTAACAAAGTGTCCATTTTGGAAACAGAATTTCAATAAGTAAATTTTCACATAAGCAAAGCAAAAGGACAAAACTCATTATAGTCTTACAGTTTTTACAAGTGATTTCACAGAGTGAACCACTGACCCTTTAGAATGATTCAACACAACCAGCTTCTATGAGTTTCCCATTTATTTACACCATGTTAAAAAATAATAAGAATTCCTTCAACCATGTGCATTTATGCATTAGATAATTATGTATTTCGTATGCCATAGAAATATAAACAAACGTTGACCATTTTATTCTCAGCCATGTTATCTTCTTACAACGTTTGTTCCTTTATAAAAGATGCAAAATGTGGGCTCAGGAATTGACAGAACAGATTTGGCTCCTTTTGGCACAGCTGAAGCACAGGAAGGAGCAGCCGCTGCTTTTGTTTTGCTTGTAGAAAGTGATTCATCAAATTTTCCTCTTACATCTTCCAGATTCCAGGAGAATGTAGCCGATCCATGTAATTTTTTATTATATTACCATGTTAACAGATCAGGTAGGTGTGTTTGTAAGTGTATTCACAGTTCAACAGTATGATGTAATAGTTACTATGCATATGCCCACTGTAATTTCCTTAATAACAATACCACAAGTAAAATAAAATATTCAGCAAAGGTTTTGTTTTGCTTTATATGTATATTCTATTTTTCTTTCTGAATTTCAATATAGATTTAGCTAATTCTTTTTTAAACAAGTAAATCTATGTCATCTCTACAGGGTTCCATGAGTTTTCATGCTAATGATAAGTAGGTTTTTATCACATGTACTCTGAGCAGCCTTAGAAAGCACACATTGTAGAAATGTTGATCATTTCACTTGCACATAAACACATATATTAAAAATATTAGGGCACAAAAACGGCTCAGGAATTACAGATGGTAACAACAGTTTCCCGGGACCTGGTGTTGAATCACTGGGGCTGTATTTCAAATTGGAATATAAGTGAAGAAAATTTCTCTTAAGGGCATTTACAATTTAGTAGAACTAACATTTTTCAACTAAAGTAACTTAATTTTAAAATGCCATAATATTAACTATATTAATCAAATTATATTTTTTAAATTATATCAGAAATGTTACATTTGTGTATTTTTCTAAAAGATGGGCAGTACATATTGTAACATAAAGATGAACAGGAACCCCACAGGACAGCCAAAAATCCCAACTGAGCATGGAATTAAATTAAAATTTATGCATTGTGATATTATTATCATCCCTAAAAATCAAACTAATGGAACCCTCAATATAGCACTGCAGTTTTAATAGTCCACTGAGAAACATGGAAATTTGCCTTCATGTACGATTGCCCTCCTGTCAGATATTCATTTAAAATGATCTTCACAAATTGGATGTTGAAAAAAACCTGTCTTTCTGGTAATGCTTCTGCCACAGTAACACCCACATTACCCCAATGCCCTGTTTTCAAAGCACTTCTGGGGGCCCCTCACAACAGCTCCCGGGGGCGGCTGACCACACAGGGCCATGATCTCACTCTGCAGACAAGAAAACCCAGACCCCACGCCAAGGCTGCCAAGACTTGCTGTGGCATGTTACACACCTCTTTTTTCCAATAAAAGGAAAATGCACGTCAGCTTTAGATCTGACCTATATATGTGTGGACCATAACTGGAAGCTTCATATCTCTCAAGGTTCTCAGCCAAATCCAGCCCGGGCAGATGCCTGGGTAGATGGTGAACAACTTGAGAGAGGCTCTCAGCAGGGCCTCCTCCTAGTGTCACTGCCCACACCCAAATCAATAAAGAAACGGGTGGGGAAAGAGGTGGAATTGCAAGATGAAGCTGCTTTACTAACATAAAATAAGCTCCTGAAATATACTTAGTTTTAGATAGGTCAATTGAACAACTTATTTATTAGACAGTATAACCCAATAACAATCAGCATGTAATAAAGGTATCAATACAAACAAATACACGTATTTATATATTAAGGGATAAAAGTAACAAGTACTCATATTGTCCTCTAATGAGGTTTCCTGTTTGTTTTAAACTGAACACAAAGTTAAGGAAATGAGTGAAACAGGATTCAAATAACTGAGAACAACAAAGGGCGCACACTCCAGCTAGCTGCCTTCTATTTCTGTCCCCAGCATTAATAAACAATGTCCACTCCGGGAAGTAAGTCTCCTACTCACAGAAACAAAGGACTCTACAAGACTTTTGGTTGATTTATTTCCTCACAAACTTTGAACTCAAATCAAATTCTGTGTTTTACTGTGTTCTTCACTTAAGGACAGTAAAACTTAGACCCTTGGTCAAACCTCTTTTCGTAATCCCAACTGGGTGCACTGGAAACCCAAGGCCTCCCATCCTCACACAGTCTGGAAAGGACTCCTGTGACTCCCAGTGTTGCTGTCTTTTATTAAATTAGTTGTCACTGTTGGATTGGTTCTTGGACCACTTCCGAGATCGTGTGATGGCAGCGGGCAGCCTACCATAAAACCTTCTTAATGCTATCACCTCTGTGTTTCTCCCCAAACTCTTCCTGTTAGAAAATACTGCAAGTAAAAATTGAATGTATTTAAGTATGCAATACCCACCAGACCCACAGCTGCATCTGCATACAGGGGTGCGTGTTTGTGTGTGTACTTTTAAAAGAGGCACCATATGGATTTCAAGTCCCCAAGTCCTTGACACTTGGCCTTTACTTCCCCAATTACTTTGACAGTTGGGAGACGATACAGAGGGATTAGAGCAAGCCAGACATCAAACCCATTTATTCTGAATCTTAAATTGTGAGTTTTATCAATATTTTGGTTACATTGTTACACAAAGAACAAATTAACATCCTGTTTGAGGTCTCATATTTGATTGCTTTGGGATCAGTGACACTTCCTTGGCATAGGAGCCCTGCACCCATCATCTCTCAGCTGTGTCTTAATAACAGTGTTGCACAAAAAGCATTTGTAAAACCGCTCCCGGGTGCTTTGACCAATACCTTTAGTTGCTGTGGCTTCCGAGTGGTTTCCTGCCAGGTGCCTGCCCCAGTGTCAACCAAGACCTTTCCTTAGCAGATTAACAGAAGATCCCAAGGAAGAGGGGCTGATCCTGTCTTCTTTGTAGCACCTGATCACTGTGCTCTCTCAAGGTGGATCCAAACAAGGTAAAGCACTCCAGGAAAACAGGGCTGAGGGGATCTGGTCACGACAGCGCCACAAGCAGCACAGTTCATGCCCACCCAGCAATGCCAGGTTCTTAAAGGATTCCAAGTATAAATAAAAAATAAATAAAATCCAGGTTGCGAGTTCTAAAGATGCATCTGAGAGACTCTCTCAGGAAGAAAAAGCAGACGTGTCCATTTGCTATTGTTACTCTGATAGACAGATACTTTTGGTTTGGTAAGGTCTCATTCAAAACAAAATATACAGGTTTTGTTTTGTTTTGTTTTATCTCATCCATGAATTCAGCATACATTTTCTCCCTCCACCCCAACCCCAGTGCAGAAGTTAAAAGTGGGGTAAGGATGGAGGGCCCCGTGTGCCAAGAAAATAAAGCTGCTCAAGAAAACAAACAACACAAAACAAAACCGCAGTCAGTCCAGTCTTGCACACTTGGCTCCTCTGGATAAAGCACTTCCTGACAGGTTCACAATGCCCCGCCCCCTCCCATCCACCCAGGGGAAAAGTACAGAATGAGGGTGAAGCCATTCTTCCTCTTAAGGCTCTACAGACACACAGGGGACACAGGTCAAGGACTGTCCCAAGGGTAGTTCTTTGCCAGGCTCTTGCTTTGAGCCCCGACTGCAACCTGCAGTCCATCCTGGGGTCCACAGCAGTGCTCCTGCCACCGGGACAATGACACAATGTACAAACAAAAGAAGGTAAGTCAATGGTCCCAACAATAGAATCCAATATTGACTTTACAATCACAGGTACAAACTGCTCAAATCGATAATTTCATTTCTCCTTAAGACCTTGTCGTCTAAAACTAATTAGAGGCCAGGTTCCCGAGGAATTGTCAATATTCAAAGAAAATACTGGAGATTTAGGAGGAAATCATTCTTGGACCGCAACAGTCTGACAGAGGCTGGAAATGTGTTGTCCTATTCTGGCAAGTTGAGGGTGTTATGAAGGGGGGATTCCTGCGTCCAGATTGCAACTTCCCCATCATTCGGGGGGGCTGAGTCTATAGAGGAAAAACCAAGAAGCCCGAGAACGTGGAGTACTTCCAGCCCCCCATAAGGTTGCCCCTCTCCAGTTTAAGGTGCACTTTGTCCTCCCTTTCCATGAGCAGCAGGACTCCATTGCTGGCCGCTTCTCGGGTCACATCCTGGTCTCCTGCAAATGCTGAGATCACTGGGTAGCCATTCTGCATTAAACTGACCTAAAATGCAGAGGGGAAAGCTCAGCAGACCATAAAGAATCCCACTCCCACCTGCTGTTTTCTTCCCCACCCCCATCCTTAGAGCCCACACCTGGGGCCTGATGGAGAGGATCCCCAGTGAGCTCAGGGCCAAGCGCCTCTGGAGAGCCCAGTTCCTTAGTTCCTCAGCCTCACAGAGCCAAGGAATGGGCCTTCAGCAGTGAGAAATCATTAACCAGACTGCATGGGCCCCCCTAGGAAAGCTACCCACCTGGATGGTTTGCCTGTTGTACACTTTGACCACATGGAAGCTGAAGCTATAGATCCCTTTTCGCGGAGCTACAAATATACTGGAGGCAAGATCAAAATGGTTGCCGATATTTACTAAGACCTGAAAAAGAAGAAGGAATACAGTACTAACAGCCAGCTGCTGCTCAGCCTGTTTTAATGATGCTCAGACAACCACTGACACCGGTTCCTGCATTAATGCAGAGCAGCCGGCAACACTGGCTCGGCTCAGCCAGGCCTCTCCAGGAAGAGGGCAGAACTGAAGTTATACCATCCTGCAGCAGGAACCGATTTCAAAGTTATTCTAATATATCATCATTTTTAAAGATTTTTCAACTATGATTTATTCATGCATTCAGAAAATGAGTGTGAATTTGATATGCTTGGAGTCAGGGCAAAGAGAAAGGGACTGGAGACAGTCCCTTTGGTAAATAGCAGCAGCTCAAGTCTGTTCCTGAGATCTGTGGGTTACCTACCACACCTTCAACATGATGCTTTGTTTCACAAACACAGTTCCATACCTGATGTGGGGGAAAGGGCCATGGAGCAAGAGGCAGATTCAGTGAGATTGCTGCCATAAAAGGAAGCCAGGATCTAACTCCACCTGCCCCCAGGGAAGCAATGGTCTCTGAGATGTGCCCCCCCCCATTTCCCAGCCCCTGGCATCACACAGTAGGTGCTCAATAATGCATACTGAATGAAAGAGCTTTGTCAGTAAACAAGGACTGCTGCCTGCTTCTCCTCACTTTCCTCTGAGCAACCTGTTTTACCTGTTAGTTGAGCAATGGTGTCATGCAGATGAGTTTCAATAAATAAAAAGAATTGAACTGGTAGCTTGGGCACCCACAGCTCAAACTAAGAGAATCCTACAACATGCAAGAAAATAAATGAGAGAATTAGCCACCTGACAGGAGATCACATGAGCCTGTCAAAGGATTTCCTCAAATATGAGGGGACCAGAGGGTTACAGTATCATAGCAGAATTGGTAGAATGGCAGGTTCCCAGTTATGACCCAACCCCCTTTCAGACATTTCTAGACAGAATCTGGCCAATCTGTCCAGATCCCGCCCCCGTCCCTCCTCATATACAAATTATAATTCAGTAAAAATAATAAAATGGCCCACTGGCGCTTTGGTTTCTAAAACAGAAAGCCAACAGCAACAACACCCTAGATTCAAGACTTCATCATCTGATCAGAAAATAAGCCTCAGCCTGAGTAACTCTGGTGGTTACTTCTTACACACTCATTGTAAGTGAACAGCTGCGACCCTGAAGGCAGTGTGTGAAGCTGAGGTAGTTTGGGGAACTCTCCAGTGTCCTGGACCCTCCCCTCAGCCCACCTGGGCCCCACTGTTGAAGAGGAAGCCCTCCAGGGCCCCTGCTTCTCACCATGCTTTAAAGGAGAATAAAGAATTCCCCACTTGGGCCCTGAGGGTTGCTCCTTCCCTTCACAGGCCTCCTTTGCCTCAGTTCTGAATTTAGAAAACTGGCAAATTCACAGATGAAAGGACACCCATCCTGGCCCTGAAAAGTGGACCTCAGTTAAGACCTCGCCCTGCTCAGTTTCCTTATCTGTGAATTAGAATTCTATCACTACTGATCCTGCCCTTCATCACCGTGTTCTTGAAACCCCAAAGAAATGCCGTGGAAGCTATTGGTAAGACATTGGGAAATGAAAAATAGTTACAAAATAATAGCACATAGAGAACAACTCATTAATAGAGCACACAGTTCCCGAATGCTCTTTCATTGTTATCTCCAAGATTTGGAAATGAGTAAAATATTTTTATATCTTAAATAAATAAAAACATAAAAGAAAAATCCCCCCTCCCTCTGAAACACACCCCTTCAAACAGAAGATCCTTAATAAGATTTACAAAATGAATACCCTGGCCTAAAAGAGGCCAGGTGTGTGTGTGCCTGCTATTAGGTTCTGGAGCTGACTGGTGGAGACAATAAAGCCACCAGAAAGTGCTCCCAAGAGCACAGATATGCTCAGGGATGGCCCAGTGCTCCTTTGTGTGGGAAGTGCTTGGGCAAAAGGATTAGCTGATGAGGTAAAGTTTGAAAAACACTAAAAGGCTTTTTAATTTGTTTCTGAAAAAGAATAGGAATCAACCCGGAAGGACACAAAAGGATGGTCATAACCTTCAACCCTTAACACCAATCACCCAGAGAAAGAATTGCAAAGGTTTGACCCTGTCTGAGTCTTGATTGCTTGGAACCCAGTGACAGAAGTTAAGTGACTTGCAGCAAAGTAAGTCACTGCTCTTTGTTCTTATTTATACAGCTAAATTACATATTGACATATTGTGTACAGGGCATTTGCATACTGTATGTTTCATTTTCTATACCTTGTTTTTATATAGCCATGTTACTTTGTTTTATATTTATATAATGATTCCTGCTCTTTCCCCTACAACCTTCCTCACTTATTTTTCTCCCTACTCCATCTTTTAAAATAAACATCTCTTCTGTGATCTGGGCTAGGCTTTTGGAGTATTCCTTTTCTGAATGGAGGAGTTTGGAATGCACTCAGCCCTTAGATTGGCACCTGACTGCCTGAAGATCATCAACCAACCCCAGCAAAAAGTAATACTGGCAACGTTTCCTTTTGGGAAATATATTTCAAATATCAGTTTTACAGGACCTTTACCTTTGATATCTTTAAGGGATTCTCAGTAATCCAAGTGCTCAGTAAACTGGTAATTTAAGAATACGAATGCTGCAATGTGGAAAAGGAGTGAATAGAAAGAGAACAGCGAGCCAAAAGGTAGGGCAGAGCAGAGAGGAGGGAGCTCCAGGGAACTCCAGGTCCGAGAAAGGGGAACCTCAGCTCTGGCCCCCTGCCCCGCCTTCCCCTCCCAGGCGGCGGGTGGGCGAGGGAGCCGGCTGACCTGGTCGAAGTAGATGGTCATGGTGCGGTTGCTCATCTCCGACGGCTCGTGGTTGGTACTCCGTGTGGCAGAGAAGGCCACCTTGGCGCTGCCGGAGCGCACGGAGATGCCCAGGGAGGAGGTGACCGCGCCATCCGCCGACGGGCTCGAGTCGCACACCACCAGGCACTTGCCCTCGAGTACGATGGGCTCCGTGTCGTTCTGCGCCCGCACCGGGCAGCAGGCTGGTAGCAGCAGCAGCAGCAAGGCCAGCGCCGCCCCCAGGCAGGAGCCACAGTCGGCCGGCTCGCGCAGCGCCCCCCGGCGCCCGGGCATGGTCAGCCGCGGCCCGCGGGGGCCCCGGCCGGGCGCCGGCATCTGGGCTGGGGGGCGGCGCGCAAGGCAGAGGCAGGCGTGGGCTGGAAGAGCGCCAGGGAGCGCGCAGGATCGCTCCGGGACAGAAGTAGCCTTCTCTGGCCTCGGTCCCCTGCTTTCCTGGTCAAGGCCAAGGGAGTTCTCAGAAGGAGGGTGCCAGCGGACCTGTCAGGGCAAAGAACCCAAACCCTTAGGTAGGGAGGCAAAGCTAGGGGGAGGGGCGGAGGGGAGCAGTGCCAGCGGCTCTTGGGCTCCCTTTCGGAAGGCCGTCCCCCTGGTCTGAGCACAACTACCCCCATCCCCGACTTGGCCCAACAGGTTCAGAGAAAGCCCGGGCGCGCGGTGCTGCGCGTCGGTGAAGGCTCCTGCRTGGCTCGCGCAGGGGTGCGTGAGGTCAAGGACCCGCGATGCTGCAGAACCTCATTGCTAAGACAGAGTCCGAGACCCTGGAGAGGGCGTCAGCGCCGCCCCCTGCCCACTCAGCTAAAGGAAGAGGGGGTTTAAGAAGCGGATAAAGAAAAAGAAACTGATTTACCGTCTTCATTTCAGCGTCATTTTCTTGAAAGTCACCCCCCCCCAAAAAAAAAAAAACCTCCTTTCCCTGCCTTTCCTTTAACCCTCTATTTTTCCATAAGAAGGTGTCTTGTGGCAGCTCGTTTTTTTAAAAAATAATAATAATTCAATTTTCTACCCAAAGAACAAACCCCTAGAATCTCCTTAGGTGAATGGGATTAAGATGAGATAAAAAGGAAAGAGAGGAGAAAGACGGGTGCGGGCGAGACTAAAGCCAAGACCCACTCCTAAGGATCCCAGGGCTACTGATGAGCCCCCTTGGGTCCACCTCTTGGATTCTTCTCCTGCAAAGAGCTGAGGATTCCACCAACAGGAATCCCAGGCTTTGCTGATTTTCCAGCCCTTGTTTCTGAACCCCGCGTCCGCTCTTCGCCTGTAAATTTCTGCTAACTTATATGCCTTTTGGCACTTTCACCCCGTCCCCTCTTTCATTAAACCAGACAGGTCATTCCGATACCCAGCCAAGAAGCAAAACGCAAAGATGCCTGCCTCCTCACGGCTCTCAGCCTCAGAACAACTCTTCCAGTGTTCTTTCTAAGAACAAGAGAAGTTTATTCTCGATAAATATTCTCTGTCCTCAGTCCCCATGCAAGATGATTGCGATATTGCGATGTTCTTCCCTCACCCTCCTCTCTCTCTCTCTCTCTCTCTCTCTCTCTCTCTCTCGTAGAACATAGACTTGTGATGGTCCTCATGAAAATGCATGCAAGAGGGCAGTTAACTCGAGGATCCTGGAGGGTAGGGCCGGGATTTGGTTACCTGGAACATCCATGATGGGCGAGTACAGCTGTCCGCGAAGTTGTTCTGCTTAGAGAAAATGAGGCGAGCGGTAGCTGGCGGGAGGAGGACTCGGAGCGCGACCCTTTCTCCCAGCGCGTGGCCAATAACCGCGCCGCCCCGCCCTGCCGCTTTCCCGCGCCGGCCCGCGCGGGCTCCCGGTACACACCACGCCCCGCGCCCGCGCGCCCCGCGGCCGCACCGCGCCGCGCCCCACTCTGCGTTCGCCCGGTGCCTTTAGCCCATACGCTTCGCGCCGGGCACTGAGCCGCACCGAGTCCTCAGCCGCACCACGCGAAGCCCGCTGCCTGGGGCTTCTCAGCTGCTGCGCCCAGCGCGCCCACAGCGCGCATCGCTGGCGGGACCTCTTGGCCCTGGCCTTTCCTCCAGACTCCGGAGGGCAAAGCCCAGCGTTGCCAACGCCCTAAGGCCTGTGTGCATAGCAGTCGTCCGGGGCTCGGTGTGCCTTCCCGCCGCCCGCATCCCCACCCCGCACTCAGCACCCTGCACCGCCTTGGTCCAGCTCTCACCCAAACACCCAGAGCGAAATCCTCTTAGATGCCTTTTAAAAAATTAGGCACCTTCAAAAGCACCAGTGGCGTCTCTTCTTTTAGATTCTTTCTTTCCTTTTCCAAATTCTCTCCAACTCTTAATCTTGAATAGCGTGATCACTTTCATAATTAAGAAGAGGACCAGAAAAAAAAAAAACAGTTAAAAAAAAAAAAAAAGAAGAAGACTGGTAAGGAGCTAGAAAGCTTTTGAATTTAAAGGTTTAAGGGCCGTGGTTCCAGAATCTCCAGTTTGGGAAACGTCAGGTTTTGGCAAGGATTGAAGAAATGCCTCCCGCCTAGGTTTATGTGTCTGCTCCTCTGAACCTCGGGGCTCCTGGAGCGCTTTGGCACCGCGCTGATTTATTAAAACGTCGGCTCTAAGCTCTAACGACCTGGGTAGACGCGCCGGGTTCCCCAATTGCGCCTGCAGCAAGGGCGAGACGCACAAGCACGGACGCGGGGCGCCACCTATGGGTGCTGGTGCCTCCCTGCCGCAGGCTGCGGACAAGCGGACTCAGGCAGAACCTTGGGGGAGTCCTAGGGACCAGGATGGGGTTTGCGGATAGTCTCCGTTCTCCCCTAAACGCAGTGCTTGCCTGTGCAAAAACACAAGAACAATGTGTAGAATTCTTTCCAGTATCCTTCAATATCTTTGCCTGCGACCAAAAAAGATAAAAAGTGAGGGGGGCAGCATTTTCATTTTTCAGATCTTTACCACTGACAGACTCTGCCAAGATGATAGTCGCTGCAGTAAGATTGTCTTCGGTTCTACACAAGGTTTGCACGGACTACTGGCTGATAGTCCATACCACCCTTAAACAAAGGTAGTACAGTCTTTAAATGGCACTTTACAACCTGATGTTTTAAAAAAAATATTGGTCTTTGGCTTGCATAATAATGTCTTTTCTAATAGGCTGATCAGAGATGAACCCCAAGTCTACCAACGCAGTTCATTAGAACTGAACGAATGCATTTCTTATTCTTCCAGATTTTACTCGGAACCTTCTTTCCTTTGAAGATTTAGGCAGTATCTGGTTCCACTCTAAGAAATGCGTCTCTTCAGGTAAGCCTTCCGAAGGCCTTTTCTGTTGGCTTTCTCAGGCTGCTCTCTGTCTTAGAATAGAACTAGCTGTAAGGCCTGTGCTGTGATGAAGCAGTCCACATCTAACCCGTCCAGCTGGAATGGAAGGCTAGGGCAGAGGGAACTCACAGCGCATGGTCAGGTGAGGCAAGCCATTTCCTGGGGGCCGAAGGATATTACAAGAGCCTATGAGTTAAATATATTCTATTGTACAGACTACAAAAGACTCCATAATCTGTCATCCCCCTAAACTATATCCACTAAAATCCAGACTACACTAAAACATTTTATTAATATATTGGTTGTGTACACTGGGCTTTGTGGGAAGTTTTTTTTTTCCTAGGATACTACTCTCGTTTCTGAGAGTTTAACACAATGGAAATATCACCTTACTATTCCAGTAGCACATTATTTCAGATACTTCAACACTTCATCAGTTGATATTCTCTTCTTGTCAAAATAAACACAACTCTATCAGACCATCACCGAGAGTACTGATTTGGGTGCAAGACTAATTAAGAAAGGGTACTAGATCCATGAAAGAAATGTGAGGCATAGACTGATTGTTGGAGCATTTGGGGTTGCTAATTAAGTAGAGGTATGACTTTCATACCTCTGAAAAAAAATTAAGTAACAACAAACAACTTTCTTAAATGCCACACTATAGCATTTCTTTTAACTAATGAAAATGCAAACACACATGAACCGAATTTTATTATCAGCTTTGTAGTTAAATTTTTTTTCTATGTGGCAATGAAAATACTTAAATAATGTATTAAAAGAAACCTTTAACCTACATAATGAACTAGGTTATATAATGAAAACAATAAGCATTGTTATATAATGGAAAAAAACAGGTTAGGTTTGAATTTAAGTTTCAGATTATATTTATAAGGAAGTTAGTAGTGGTGAAAGGCAGCAGAATGACAGATAAATGTTTATTGATTCATTGATTTATTAGTTATTCCACTTATAATAGTGGGTCAAGTGATAGAATTTTAGCTTGTAAATGTTTAGAAAAAAAATTGAAATATAACTAAGATATAAGTCAAAACGTTTTTCAGTTTTCTCAGCAACTGATTTTTATCCTCTTTTCATGTTACCATTAATTTTTGCTTTCAGTGCTAGAACATTAGTAGTAGACTCCACTCTTTAAATTCATGGACATCTATTACTATAGACAGTAATCACAGTGTCAACCACATATTGAACACCTGTCATGTGTCAGTTACTTCAGCATGCCCTTTTTATAGGCTACAAAATACAGCTTCACACCCACCCTGTGGGAGAGACAGATGGTCATACATAGCTGCAGTGAAAGTGTTCTGATGTTAAAAATAAAGTGTGGGAGAAGAGGCTGGGATAATTCTAGTTCTCTTCCTTTCAATTGTCCAAAATATTTATCTCTCGTAGATTTTAAATTTGTCTTATTTGGATAGAACCCATTACTGAAATGCATTTAGCGTGCATTTTAGTTTTCTCTTAATTCTTTAAATTACTATATCATATTTATGATTTTGTTCTAGATGTGTCTTAAAAATGATTAGCATCAATTTCACACTCTGGGACTTTAAAGCCATAAACATAATTTGACAAACATTAGCATTAATAAAAAATAATTGTCTGAAATTTTTAGTAAATATATAGTCTAGAGGGTTATTAAGATATGGAAAATATATAATAAAATATAGGGCACACTCTGGTGATTCATGATAAATTGTTTAAATATGCACATTGATATTTCTCAGTGAAATAAAAATATTACTGAAGTGCCTGCTAACTTAAAAATGTATCACATCAATGAAAAGTATAAAAACTCAAGGCTAGTGTGTGATTTTGTGTAATGTAATAGGAACATAAATAAAATTCTTTAAAAATTGTCATCAGTTCTCAATCAGTCACTGAATAATAGAAAAAGCAAGAAAAGTTTGTGTTTATGAGCAATTGGTTTGTGTTTATTGACTGAAATTTCAAGTAATCATAACATCTTGGCCAAATTAGCATAATAATTGTGGATTCTG